TCTATAAGTAAAATATATATTAAAATATATCATTGTTTTGAAACACTGTAATCTTCACTTGAAAGTCTATTTCTCTATGAAACAATCTAAATTTGAACATTGCTGAGAAAAATTTTAGTATTATACTAATACTCGTGATTATAAAACAGTGCTGATCCAACAGCTCATCACACTTTCTGGAGAACAATTGCCCTTCACTATCTCCTTCTAATTTTAAGTATAATTTGACAAAGCAAATTCAAAAGGAAAATAGCAATAAAAACTTAGAGACAAGAGGTTAGTTTGGATTAGTTTAAAGTGGCAAAAAATTTTGTCATTTAACTATCATTTAAAGTAATGTAAACATTTGCCAAAGCACATATGCATGTATGATTAATCAGATGTAGTAGTTCCTTATTGCTCTAGGTAGGCATGTCTCTTTCTCAGTGGTAGCATCATATGCACCCAGATTTAGAGAGGCATTTAAAAGTGTCAAACTATTAGGATTTGTGTCTGATTGAGGTGACCACTGTACACAAACATCTATAGTCTTTTACCTCTGGTTCAAGGCCTAAATCTTTCACTGACATTTTCTAACAGCTCATTTTTGTTTATTATTATTATTATTATTTTGTACCAGAGGCAAACTAACATTTAGTATTGCTAATAGCTCTCCTTCAAACCCACATTCCAGTTGACACTTTGGTTAGATTTTCATGATCCCAAATGGTCCTTGCATTTTGAAAGGGACCCAAGTGGGCACATTTCCACCCATGAGATCAAAGGAAAGAAGCAAATAGCTCTTGATTGTACAGGTATCAAGCATTTTTCATTTGTATAATATTTCTAAGCCTTAAAATTACAGCTTACTCTTTTTCTTCCACTTTGGAGTCCATAAAAGGAGGTAAAATAAGGTAATATTTTAAAACTCAGATATAATAGTGTGACGCCAATGCTGGATACTGAATTTTACAAATAAGTTCAAAGAAATCATAGCCTGTGAGCAGATTATCATGCCTATCATAAATTAGCACTAAGACTTTTTAAAGTCCTACAGAACTATTCATTACATGGAAACAACATGGTGCCTGACCTTGGGAGCTGGTCTCAGACAATGTCTTTGAAGTCATTTTGTTCTTGTTCTTACTTCAAGTATCTTAGACATGTGTCTTTATATAGTCCTCTTGAGGGTAGGGACCATATCTGAATTACTTCATGTGTTTCTCAACGCAGAGACCTCTGGAGATTAAAAAGTGGATAATGTATGGAAAAATATACATAATTAAAATTTAACTTTATAAGACATAGCATTATTTGGCTTCTCTTCTACTATTTCTCTATTATTAAAGAATTACATGGATTCTTACTAACTCTAAAAATTTAAAAATTAGTATTTACAATAGAAAAAACTCCTACATTATATATCTCCCAGTGCTCACCCACTTCTTCATTGGAGGCTGCTAGCAGTTTGGCACAGAGGTCCACTCCAAACGTGCTCTCTTGATTTTAATCCCATGCAGTTAAAACTATTATACTGCCAACGTTTATGGTCACTGGATTTATATTGCATTGGACTTTATTTAAAACTACTATATTTCTTCATAAACATTTGAGGGACCAATAACGGTTCATTAAATGTGTTTTAATCCACAGCATGAACATTCCTATTCTTTCTCTCTCAGTATTAAGTTCTGCTCATACATGGTTTATACAACTGACATACTCAGTCAATTGTTGTTGGAAGTTGATTCCATTCATACTGATGAATAAATGTCTGGTACTGAATGTCCCCCTCATTATTACTGTTTTTTCACAGATGGGCTTGGTTATTTTCTTATGTTTACTCTTAAATATGTATTTTAGAATTTCTTTGTTAAGTTCCTCCCAAATCCTGCTGTGATTACCACTGTAGTAGTACTTTATTTAGTTTGGGAGGATTTGTCTTTCTATTTGCTTATGTTTTCTTTCATGTCTCATTAGACTTTTGATGTATTCTTTACCTGCATTACTGTTGAAGTTAATGATGTTGTTTCAATAGTGTAATGGGATATTTTCTGTTTTATATTTCCAATGAATTATCAATATAATATAGAAAAGACGTTATTTTTTAAGCATTACATTTCTAGTATCTCATTATTTTTCTGTAGATTAAAGTCTCTTAGATTCAATTTACAATAGAATTTTGGAGATTTATTTTCCATCTACATATTGACAGATCAAAATGGAAATAATTCTTTCTTTGTACATTTGTCAGCTTTCAGGACTCAGTACCAGTTTGATACTGGGTTGTCAAGACAACTAGAAAACTTATCATCTTTTGTGATTTCCTGAAAAATAGTGTTGAGTGGAAACCAGCTGCATTAAGTCGTCGTGCTAACCTGGGCACGTGTGCAGGCGTCCACCAGAAAAGCGAAAAGGATGCCCTGACACTGCAGGTGGCAAAAGGCTGGCCCTCAGAACCCAAGGGCTGTCCCATGTTTCATTCTCAGAGGTCAGCTTAGTGATTTAGAAAGAGAAATACATGACCGAACTTTCTATGGTGATATGGCAAAATATTGACTTTACTCCTGAGTGAAAGCATCTGCTTCAGCAGATGCACTGGAATTATGCGTTTCTGTGTGTCTCTTTTATGAATCACACTGAAGGTTGTTTCGTGTGTCTACACTAGCATTATCCAGCCTTTGTAATGCAACTTTAAACCCAGCCCTGAAATCACACAGAACATTCAAATAATGTTGGAAGTACTATAACCTTTTGCATTGGGATGGACTTATTTTTTTTAATTTCACATGTAATTAGCATGCAGATCATCAGGCAATTGCAAAAGCCAGAATGTGAGATAAAATTATATAAACAAAAGTAAACTTATTTTGGCTTCAGAACACTGCAATAATATTTTTTCAGGGTCGGATGTAATATTTATGCTGAAGAGTTTCCTTAAATAAACTTTTAAAATGTTTACTAATCTTGCTATCACTGAGTACAGACATCTTCCCAAATGGACAAAACCTTAGGAAAACATTGGGGCACCTCCCAGCCTATCATATTTAAAGCTCTAGTACAACCAAACAGAGGTAGGAGGAGCTGCACACAAAAGAAACTTAAAGCCTTGGAACCTGGAATACTAATCAGCGGGTAATTGCAAACTGACCCCTAAATTAGGATCCACCGGGATTCCCTACCACAAACCACTGATTTCACTGGACTTCTCAACAATCATGGCCCTGAGGGACTGATCATGAAAAGCCAAATCTCCCATAGCTACAGGAAAACAATTCATTTCCTTGGCATTAACAGGGTATAATTGGTTTTAAAATGCATTGCTGTTAACATTATTTCTTAAAAAATGAGAATAGATTTAATGTTTTTATGATTATGAAGTAATGCACATTTGTCTTATTAATTTTAAAAAGTCAAGACTGAAAGTTACAAAGAATACATTCTACTTTTATTGAAATTATTGGGATGACATTGGTTAATAAAATTATATAGGTTGTAGGTGTATGATTCCACAGCACATCACCTGTATATTTTATTGTGTGTTTACCACCCCAAGCCAATCACCATTTAGTCCCCCCTTCACCTTCTTCTACCTCCTCATACCCCTCTTTCCCTCTGGTAATCACCACACTGTTGTCTGTGTCTATGAGATTTTTCTTAATCCCTTTAAATCACCTATAATTTTTCCACCCAAAAATTACTACTGTTAACATTTTGATATAGATCATTACAGAATTTCTCTTTAAAAATATTCTAAAAAGGTTCATGCTCACTTGCAACATAACTAAAAATACTTATCTTCAAAATAGTTATTATTTTTAAATATTACATATATTTGGAACTGTTTAATTGCATCCTCTTACATGAGATCAAAAACATATATCATTATAAAACACTCAAAAAGAATTTTAAATATTCATGTTAAATGTGTTGACTTCATTAGTTATCAATAGCACACATGTGCATATTGAACCAAAATTAGTGTCTTACAATGGCATTAATATGACAGAATTCATGATTTGTTATTAATTTGTAAAGACACCCAAAACAGTTTCTCTCCTCCCTATTTCCCAGCCCCCCTCGATCTCTGTCTGGGTCCCCACCTAGTTCACTCTGATCATTGTCACTAATATCCCAATGATTATACTGATGAAATGATCAAAGCTGAAAATGATAGAATTCCACCAGGACAACTTTTTTGTAAACTGTACAAGTAGACAGTAAATATGGCCTCTTTCTATATGTGTGTCATTAGTCATGAAATATCTGTGATTAGAATCACAAAGAAACTATTAATATACGTGTATGTTTCCTCTGGGGAGGGAATTGAGTGGTTGGAGGTGGGGGCCAGGAATGGGAAGGAAATTTCTTACTATATAACGTTTTGTGCTTTTATCAATGTTTTTTATAATGCCAATTCAAAAATTTAAAAATAAAAATGTGTATGCATCTGTACAAACAAGTAAAGGGTTATTAGCTTAACAAGGCATAGGCTGCTCCTCCGGTTCCATCGCTGGGTAGGTGCCCAGAGAAACGAAATCACTAACTGTAACAATGTCATATTATGACTGTGCAATGGGAAAATAATTTTACTCTAAAATAGTTTGAGTTGTCATTCTCTAAAAGGGTGCCATGACAGATTTAGAGTACCATGTTTGAATCAGTGATTCACAAAAGGCAAGTTCACATCCTCTATATGCGATAGCATCTGGCTTGAACGTGTACACACACACACACACACACACACACACAGCAGTGTGGTAGAGGAACACCAGAGGCTGTTCCTTAGTTATACTGGGTACAGCTGCCCTGAGGTAAGAAAGGTGGCAGAATTCTAGCCTAAATCTTGGTGTTTTCTAAAAAAAATGAGATACTCTAGTTCTCAGTCATTATAATGCTCTTTAGGCGGCATTTTTGTGATAGAAATGGTGCTCAAGTTTGTGAGTTAGTTACAACACTCTATGCACAGCTCAAATGCCCTTGATGCTGCCTCACTACTTTTTTTTGTTCTTGATTTGCAGGTAGTAAAATCAAAGTTATCCAAAGAAAATCACTTTATTAAAATAAAACAATCAAGAAATCATACTGTGGGGAAATATTTCAACAATCACAGCAAACTACGACAACAACAAGACTTGATAACCAATGTTCAATCGCCATATCATGTCAGAGGTCCAATCAACCAGGTTTATTCTGAAATTCTACTCAGCAGGATGTGTGCAAATAAAGGAACTGTGTAGACTCCCTGGAGGAAGACCGAACTCGGACTTGAAGACAAACCACTCACTTGGATGATTGCCTAAGAACCAAATTCTCTGCATCACGTGTATTTTAGATTCACCACATGCACTCAGGCACACCATCACACACACACACACACACACACACACACACCAATGCACACATTCCTAAAAAAGTAATGACACTTTTTTCTTACAGCTTGGTAAAGTTAAGATGTGCACTTAAAATCAGTTGGTTATCTATGTGGGGGACAGAGCTAGAAAAAGGTTACTGGAGACATAATATGAACAAGAACCATTGTGGGCTAGGTGTTGCATTGTGATAATCAAGAGACACAGGGCTCTGGCCAGTGGGGCTCATTTGTTTGTAGCTTGGAGCATCATCCTGTAACTGAAAGATCATTGATTCAATATCTGGTTAGGGCACATGCCCAGGTTAAGGGCTTAGTTGGGGTACATGCAGGAGGCAGCCAATTGGTATTTCTCCACCAACGTTTCTTTCTCTTTCTCCCTTACCCCCTCTCTCTTGAATGAGAGTGAAATAAACCCTAACAAAGAGAGAGAGAAATACAGACACATGAATTACGTGGAAAAAAGGATAATGCTCTGAATATTATGTTATCTTCTCTATTACGACATTAATATTGAAAAGGGTAAAAAAGTAACTACATTCCACTTGCAAGAAGGGATTTCACCTGTGTCCTTTACCGGGAAAAAAAACATGGTGTTTATGATGACTTCAGCTTTGGGAATGTAATGCTTATTTAAAATTTTTTCCCTATGATTTTTAAATTTTATAACTGAAAGGAAAAAAGCAAGAATGCTCCACAAAGGCATTCTAATAGATTCTATGAAAGACATAAGAAGTGTAATAATTACAGTTAAAACATCAGTATGTGTCACTTTGTACTCTTTGTCATTTTCATTAGCATTCCCTCCTATCCTGTCCCTGAAGTTGGATGGGTAACTGCAGTCTAACTAAATATGTAATTTTAAAGTGTGAAACAAAGTGTAGCTCCTCATGTATACTTTGTTTATTTAATTGACGATATTGTTTAAAAAAGAATTGACTGCCCTTACAGCCCTATATAATGTAAGATTACAATTACATTTTATGTAAATATTTTGCAAAGGATAGGCATTCTCAAGTGCACAGGCATTTATTTCCACAATGCATTTGCATATACCCACAAATACTCCTATATTACTAGTAACTATACTTTTATTTCCCTGAACAACTGTATCTAATTCAAATTTAGAGTAGGCATAAATTACTTTTATTAAAACAATTGTACATACATATAAAACATCTGATTCTAGTATTGAGAACTTGTCCTTTAATATTCTAATTTCAAAATAGTAAATTTCTTTATTTCACAAATATTTCATTGTGAAATAACATCTCACAGTTATAATGGTTTTTAAAGGATTCTTTTTCATTTGGAGGAAAAAAGACCTGAGAGGGTTAATTCAACACATGGCTGAAATACCAAATGTACAAATACCTCAATTTTATTGCCTTATAAAAAATAAAACTATTTTGATCGATCAGTTTCTTACTATGAATATCCACCTCCTTTAAATATTCTATTTTTATACATATATTTTTATATGAAGGTAACATAAATTTATATATAACTATTTTAAATTATATTTAAGCACAAATATCACAATATAAGCAAAACATACCTACATTTTATAGATGATAGATTTTTTAAAAGAATGGTACAGAATTCACTTTTAAAATGAGTTTTTTCCTAATATCTACAGCTACATGTAAGCATCATTTTTAGGTTTTCAGTCATTTGTTTTCAGTGAAGATGTTGCTAATTCATGCAGCCTCTCTGAGTTTTAATGTATTATATTCTCTGTAACAGGGTTATAGTCAGTGAATGTTTCTTGCAATTTACTGTCAACCTAATAGTGATTGTCTGAGATTTGTCTGGCATTTACCTCTTCTCTATTGAAATAATAATGAATTTTGGACATAATTGTAATGATGGTATTAATAAATGCCTTCTTAGTCATATTCTGTGTTCAGAGTATTTTTTTATTTTCTTTTTCAATATAGGTGTACAACCATACAAACAGTGACCACTTGGTACATAGATTATCTGGCAGACTCAAATATTGCAGTGTGGTTGATAAGATAACTACACTCCAACCCTGGTATTTTCTAAGTTTTCATCAGATGAACTCCCAGTTGAACAGTGACCAAAGCTTTTGAACATGGTGCTTTAATAAGCTTTTCATTTCTTATGCTAAAGCACTAAAATGCTAAGAAACATTTTAATTACTCCTTAATTGAAAAAAAAACCCTACAGTGTATTTTACCTTGGTGAAATAGGTGTGTGTGTATGGGTGTGTATTTGTATGTGCTTAGCAAGTTAATTATTTGAATATAAAAAATAAGAGAAGGCATTTTATATATTTTTAGATATAAAAGTTAAATGAAGTGTATTTTTTTGGTAAAACTGATTAGTATCCAATCTAAACTAAACTAAACTAAAGAAAACATTTATAATATTAAAAGTCAAGAATAACTGCATAAGTATTTCCAAGCATCACTGTTGACCTTGTGGGCAGTGTGTGTGTGTGTGTGTGTGTGTGTGTGTGTGTGTGTGTGTGTGTGTGGGTGTTTAACAGCTCAGTGTGCCGCTGCCAGCCATCCAAGTGGGAGAATAAGATCCTGGAGGGACAGCGGAGAAAGAAGGGCTTACCACTGCCTGCTGGTTGCGTTTACACTTGGGTTATTTAATCTTCCTCATGATAGTTGGCCCATGCCTGGCAGTCATCGCTACAAAACTATGATTCCTACTTGGAAAACAGTGGTGAAAAAAATCACTGATTTTTGAAATGGAAATCATTCCTGTACTGTTTATTGGGGGAAATATAACACTGTTATGCATCAAAGTTTCTCCTCTTAGTTCCAATTCACTGAAGGATTCCTGGATACAAAAACTGGTCAAAAACTATGTAGCCCAACAAGAATTATTTCAAAGCTGTAATACTTTGGCATTAGGGAGTGGTGGGAGAGGAAGCAGGAGTCCAATGTAAAAATAAGGTTAAGAGCATGGCAAGATGATTAGGGTTAGGATCTTATTAAATTTTATCTTACAGCGCAGGTGGCAAACACAAGGCCCCCGGCCGAATCCATTCACCTTGTTTTATCCAGCCCAGCACCCTATTTCTACCCGGTGGCAGTGCTGAGCTCTCGCTGAACTGTTAAGGAGTAGTTTACATTTACATAGTCCTAAAATTACATTCGGCCCTGTGAAGGCAACCTCGAGGCCAGTGTGGCCCTGGGTGAAAATGAGTTCGACACCCCCTTCTTATGGGCTCCTTAAGCTGAGTAAATACTGATGCTCCCAAAGCATCAGTATCTAAAAAATTTCTCTGTGAATTTTCCTCTTATAAACAGAAAGAAATAAAAATGTCATCAAAATTAGTGGCTAGGATTGTGTATTTAAAATGAACAAATGTAACTTTGGGTAAGCTCATACGGGCTGATAACTTCAAAAGTATGTATGCAGCACAAAATGATATGACAGCAGATTCCAGTGTTTTGGCTGAGTGGAGAAATAATTGCTCTGCAAAGGCTCACTGTAGGTTTTTTCAATATGTGTTTAAAGTTCAAATGATTTTGATTGCTCTCAGAAACTAAGACATTTTGATAGATCACTTTGACTTAGGGGATGAACCAGGAGTTGTTGCAAACCCCAAAGACCCGCTAAATACAGCGTGATGCTGCCAGTGCCTGCAGACTAGGTTTTGTACTTGGCAGGGCTTCTAAGTTTTCATACTGTCCAAGAACATTTTATCATGTTTTTATTACTGTGGAAACTGCTATTATCACCTTCCACATTTCTTTTATGATTCACTCAGTTGGTGTAGGGGGACTGTAGAACTCATTTTTTTCTAAGGGTTCTTAGGAAAAACCATGTGCTCTAGCGCATGTGGTCCTCCACAAGTGGTGCTCCATTTGTTTTCTTTCTGCTCACTGAAATATAAAAAATTTGCTTGATGGCTCTAATGAATGTCGGATCACTCTGCTTTAACACACTCAATCTACAGTCCAAAAACTGACTTTTAAAGTGTATCAGGGATGTTGGCAATTTATAAGCCTATTTGCAATATAACTGGAGATAATTAAACCCAAGTAATAATAAAATTAAAATAGCAACGTTTAGAGAAAACACTATAAAAAGGGATTTATATTCCTACAGAGTCATCATATTTAGGTAGATTAGGTTTTGAACTTGATTTATGCTGACTGGCTTACTATGAGGAGCCATTTAACATATCTAACCAAACTATTTACTTAGGAAATATCTGTGTACCCTCATATTATCATTTTTATTATATAAAAAAGTAATTCATATAAATTTATTTAAATCTTTGATATTTTTAAAAAGTGAAGTAAATACAATGGGTTATTTGTACATTAGAATTCAGAAGTAACACGGCCTCAAAAATATAACATGACTCTCAGCTACGTAGTGACTTCTTATTTGATGGATGGCTGGTGAAATACACCAATCTGATGGTACTTTGAGGGCTGGCCTAAGCCTAATGGTGATGCTATGAATTTATTCATATATATTTCTCACTATATTCTCATTTCTTTTCCATAATAAAATGTTCAAAATCTGTAGTTTGAAAGCTCAGTGTATGGCATCAAAGTTAACAGTTTAATTTTCTTTATGGTCTATAATATCTTATTTGGTCTATAATTGTATGATTTTAAAATTAAGTCAACAATCTGAATAACAGAAAGAAGATTTAAGAATATTAAAATAAAATAGGCATAGTTTGTAACATATAATCAGTCATATATCCACAAATCTTCACTTAGATATGAAGTTCTTGAGTCTCTGGTAGACCTTACATTAATAGCTGAAGACCTGGGATTCAGAATTCTTATTATTCCTTGGCCGCAAATACATGGAAGTGAGAGAGTGGTACAAAATGCCCACTCTGAAGTAAATGAGGCACAGTTTAATCCACGAGGCCCATCGCAATCAAAGAAGGGTTGAAACTGGGGCCACAGCATTGGTTTTCATGCCAGAAGAGAGCCTCTTCCTCCACTGGGCTCTGGGATAAATAACAATTCCCAGCACCCTTTGCAGCCACCTTTGACAGATCTTGGATGTCTCTTCAAACCTCTTCTCAATGTACAAGTCACTTTGGAGGCTCTCATTCTTAAAAAAAAATAAATAATATTTTTCAAACTTTATTGGACAAAAACTATAAGTTAGGTTAACCAAATAGCAGCTGAATGTGCTTTTCATGATACCTTCTTTTCTATAATTAAGAAAAAATAAAAAATGACCTTCAATCATCAATACACCAATAATAGTATAACTTCGGGAGAACTTGAAATGCGAACCTTCCATCTCAATTTTCTTCACGCATAGAATCAGTTAGCTATGGAGACCTTTCATCCATGTCTTTACCTTGACTTTTGAAATGGAACTTATGTAGTATTTTCTGTGTGCATTTAGTATGTAATACAAGATACGTTTTAAACCTTGCATTTTTACGTTCTCCTCCTTGCCTTAATTACATGTAACATGAAGCTTGTGTTTTAATGGGCATGAGCTCTCCAGTTTTACAGTATCATAAAAAGAGTTTATAAGCATTTTGTTAAAAATCAGTGCCTATGTCATTGGCAGGGCATGAAATTATATGCAGCTACTTCTTCTACTTATAAGATAAAATTTGGTCTCAATTAAGAACAGTACAGGAGGAAACTGAAATGATGCCTTTGTAACCTAAAAGGAGTTCAGTCATTACATGCCACAGATTTGGGGTCATCAGTTCCTACCACATGTGCATAACCTCTAGGGAAAAGCTGGTCTCTGTTCATACTTGTCTCTAAAAAATCCCCATTTCAATGTTCACATTAGTTATGCAAAATCAGTGGCATGTTTTTCAAAGGGTGTGGATCCACCCTGAGCACAAAGTTATTCCTGCCACTAACAGGAGTCATTTCCATGGGCTGGAGTTCCCTGGTCCATGGTATTGGTAAACATGTAGAACTTTCTCTTGGCCACCTTTCCTGGAAATAAATCAGTATCTTCCATGAATTATTTATGGATTCTGAGGTGAGGCTGAGAAAGACATTGCATCTCAGTTTCCTGTTTCTCAGGGGAATGGGTAGTCTCGAATGAATGATTGGCCTAAATGATGTTTTTCTGTTTCCTGGGATCATCATAGTCTTTGAAGTACTGAGTTTCTGGATGCCGATTTCCCTTCCCATGGAAGCCTCCCTGGGCATCATCTTCAGCAAACAGTTATCAAATACAGTGAAAATAGATGCCTTCTCCTCACCACTGAGCACTGTCTTGTTATGCTGCCTCTGCAGACACAGAAGCCAAAACCATGGGGCCAAAACGCAAGCCTTCCTGGTTTGTGTCTGGGGAGAGTGTTGTCAAATACAGAACTCCAAAACAAGAATTCAGGACTATTTTAAACAAAAACTCATACTGAATAAATATGCATACAAATGTGTGTGCAAATATGTGTGTGTGCATACACATACCTACAAAATGAAATAAATAAGAGAAGTACCCAATAGTTTTTAAAACCATTATGTTTCTTTCTTTAAAACACTCCTTCTTTTTGATTTATAGCAGTACGTAAAATCTTTTGAATAACAGGTTCTCTATCTCTGGATGCCTTAGCCAGGTGCTCGTCTGGACATGTGGGGAATGTGGTTGGAAGCCTCTGCCAAGCAGAGCCGTGAGGGCTGTGCTAGGGGAGGTGTCTGGCAGATACTTCTCTTGGGAGGTGACATGTAGCTGAACTGCCAGAAATCATCAGAATGAGAAGATGTTAGGGAAGGTTTGACTGCAGAGTCATAAGAGCTCCCACTATTAAAATTATAGAACTCAGGGAAAGAAAGAAGACTGGGCAGCTTTGCACCCTCATGACAATAAATAGACCAAGTAATGTGGGCATTACTCTTAGTAGGGGTGCCTGCCATACAGTCTGGCTCTTTGCCTTCCT